AGGCTGTGGTTCCCGTGGTCTATTAGAACAAATACTTTTTTTAGTATAAATGTGTTTCAAATGGAGTCCCTGGGTAGTCATACGGTGAATGCGCTTGGAGGTCTGAATCCACCCAGAGGTGCCTTGGAAGAAAGTCCTGACGATCTACTTCTAAAAAATTAGCCACTATGTATCTTTGGCTATGTATATTTTCACCAAAAAAAAAAAAGGGCCGAGAAGGGAGAGGGTTCACATGTTGTGGGGTTGTTAACCACTGTCATAAAACAATACGTGTACTACTCTTTCATGAGAAAATATTTGTTCTGTAAACTTTCACCTGAAGTACCAAAAAAAAAAAAAATTAGCCACTAAAAACCCTGTGCAGCACGGTTCCACTCTAACACACGTGGGGTCACCGTAAGTCAGAGCTGACTCGGCAGCCACTGATGCCTGGTTTATGTCCCAGATATCGTATAGGGCATAATTATACTAGAGCAGTTTTTAGTATAAGAATATCTCACATATGAAGGTGGTTCGGTGGTAGAATTCTTGCCTTCCATACAGGAGACCTGGGTTCGATTCCCGGCCAATGCACCTCAAGCGCAGCTGCCACCCATCTGAACAGGTTTCAGCTGAGCTTCCAGGCTAAGAGAGACTAGGAAGAAAGGCCTGGTGATCTACTTCCAAAAATCAGCCAGTGAAAATCCTATGGATCAGCATGGTCTAATCCTGTTGTGTGCGGGGTCGCCATGAGTTGGGGACTGACTTAAGGGCAGCTAACTACAACGACGATAACATGTTCCCAATACTGCATGGAACATACTGGTACTAAAATAGGGATTTGGGACATTGCTGTTAGCTGCAGCTGAGTCAGTGCCAACTCAAAGCAGCCTTCCGTATAACAGACCTAAACGTTACCCACTCCTGTGTCATCTTCATGATCATTGGTTGTTTGTCATCCCTTGGTGGCTTGTGTGTCACTGTGGTGCTGGGAGCTATGCCATCAGTATTTCAAATACCAGCAGGGTCACACATGGTGGACAGGTTTCAGCGGAGCTTTCAGACTAAGACTAGGAAGAAAGACCTGGCAATCTACTTCTAAAAAATCAACCAATAAAAACACTATGGATAGTTGGGACATACTTACGCTGTTGTTGTCAGGTGCCATGGAGTCAATTCCAACTCATGGCGACCCCGTGTGACAGAGCAGAACTGCCCCATAGGGTTTTCTTGGCTGTAATCTCTATGAGAGCAGATCGCCAGGTCTTTCTCCCTGGGAACCACTGAGTGGATTCGAACTGCCAGCCTTTCAGTTAGCAGCGGAGCACTTAACCATTTCGACACCAGGGCTCCTTCCAGGAAGTCGAACAACAATCCCTGCAACAATGAGCCCTGAATGACCAGGACTTAATAATAACTGATGTTGTCGTCTGGTGTCATGGAGCCAATTCCGACTCCTAGCGACCCCACGTGACCGAGTGGAACTGCCCCAGAGGGTTTCCTTGGTTGTAATCTTTACCGAAGCAGATCGCCAGCTCTTTCCTCCCCTGGAGCTGCTGGGTGGGTTTGAACTGCCAGCTTTTTGGTCAGCGGTTAACCGCTGCGCCACCTGGGCTCCTTTTGTGATTTCCTAGTGGTCTGAATCATTGCCCACCCACCTGGAGAGGCGCCAACCGGGGGAGCCGGTGCTGACAATGGGCCTGGAGGGCGGTAATGAGATCACCTTCAGGAGAACAGGAAGACTTCTGACTCACCCTCCAGAGACCGAGGCTGCCCTGTGGGCGCGTGGCATTTGGGAGTGAAGGCCTGCTCAGACCTCACGAACATAAGAGAATGACCTAGCGGGGCGCTGGGCACAGCTAACACCCTCAAGCTACAGCTCTGGGCTTCTATGTTTTAAGAAGGAGCCCTGGTGGCGCAATGGTCAAACGTTTGGCTGCTAACCAAAAGGCTGGCAGTTTGAACCCACCAGCTGCTCCATGGGGAAACCGATCTGGCAATCTGCTCTCATAAAGAGGACAGCCTAGAAAACCCTATGGGGCAGTTCTGCTCTGTCACATGGGGTCACTGTGAGTCAGAATCGACACAGCAGCACCCAACATCAACAACATGGTTGCAAGGGGCAGAAACCAACTCAAACTGCCTGATGGGATCAAAGGGGGTTTGTGGCTTTTTGTCGTTAAGTTTCAGAGGCGAAGGGCTCCATCTTGGTTTGTCACTGTCTCTCAGCTCTGCTTTCTTAGAACTAAGGATTCAGCAGCGGCAAGAACCCACGGGACGACCGGCATTGCGCTGTACCCATTTTACAGAGCAGGAAGCTGGAGTCCCAAGCAGCCAGGTTCCATTTCACAAAGTTCACAGAGGTGGTCCTCTTAGCCTGCAGCCTTCCTGAGGAGAGATCTGAAAAAGAAATAATGCACTGTTAGGATGGAGAGACAGGCTGTGGTTCAAATCCTGCAGAGGTGCAAACACTGGGCCTGGGCCTGGGCTTTGAAGAGCATTTGAAAGAGAAGTGCCTGTCGGCAGGGCTGAAGGATGAGGTCTGAGATGGTTTGGTGGAAGTCTGTGACGTGGACATCTTCCGGGACTGCAACAAGCCACGCGGGTGGGATAGAAGCTCATTGAAAGTGAGGCTGCGATCCTGTCACCTGTTAGATGTGACACTGTCTGTCGGCCTCTCCTTTATCCACAAACTCTCAGATTTGCTTGCAGAGGTCCTTGCTGCATTCCTCTTCCCCCCTCCCTCCCTCCC